TTTTCTTGCGTTTATGTTGGCATAACAGCGGTAACTATGTAACAGAAACGTCACATGGTACAAAAAGTGTTAATAATTCTTTTGCCGTTTTTGAATTATTAATAGATGGCAGCACGTATGGTACCCTTGAACAGGCCATAATCTTTATACTAGTCGGCCATGCTTGTACCATGATACGTCAGGCGTGACATGCAATAAATTGAGGTTATATTTTGGATACATTTTGGAAAGTAAAAATGTCAATAATTTGTCAACTAACCGGTAATTATTCAAAATATCATGATACCAATTTCAGCTAAAAATCCAGGATTTCCAAAAGTAATACAATTTATTTAAACAGTAACATCTTTATTAAAATCAAAATATTCCATAAATTAATTGAAAATACGTCGAATGATTTTAACAGGAGTATTAGTGAAAAATTAATGATACAGTCATTGGCGGAGTTTTTATCAAAAACGAACAATTGTTGAAAAAAATGGGTTTGAATTCAACAGGGTTTGAGTGGTTAGTTCAGGGTGCTAGAAGCGCCACGATATTGAAACTTGCGGACCGAACAGACAGGCAAAAACCTTTCTGAAAAGGCCGACAGCCTACCCTAAACTAATAATTATTAGCGTTCTCTACTGATTTTTCTAATTTATGACTACGAATTCGCTTTTATCCAAATCGTCGGGAGGACTGAATCTTATTGTGTCTATTATTATATTAGAAACTGGTAGATTTGTTTCTAGTTCAGGGTAAAATTAAGAATGTACATCTTACTATTACTACAAATTCATTGTACATGCTAAGATAAAACTAATTTTGGCAAATCACATACCCTCTAAGAAAATAGAGGGCGGGTGGGCGGGGCTAGTGTTTGCCAATCTAAAATTGAATAATATTAAGAATAGTCACTGGAATGAAGAGGGGGTCGGTGGGTGGGGTTACTGACTACTGCTTGGTTATAAAACTTTTTAGAAAAACCCAAACTCAAACTCAGCTTCGCCCACCTCTTGTCTCCATTTCACTGACTTATTTTATTTACTGTAAAATGTGAATTGAATTCTATTTTAACAAGCGCTAGAATCTAAGATTTAAAACAAAGTAAAAAGGGGCCCCTCCCACCCACCCTTATTCCGTTATTCCGTTTTTATCATCCAATCTCATTGGCTCTGAAGAAAGAATTTCACCAGTTTTCAATTTTAAATTATTCGAATTTTCGATTTTTAAAATTTTAAAATTATAAAATCGAAAAACACATTGAAAAAATAAAGAAATTGTAAAAACAAAAAATTGTGATATGAAATCGAGAAAATGAAAATAAAAAAATCGAGAATATGAGAAACAAAAATCACGAACTTGAAAAATTGGGGAAAGGAAAAAATAAAAAATCGAAAAATGGAAAATTTTGATATGGAAAATTTGAAATCTAAGAAAAGGAAAAACGAAAATTTCTAATATAAAAGAATTGATCGAAGGTAAATGATTCCAGAGCATACGGTTTTGCAATTTCATAGTTAAATCGTAAAATGTTGCTATAGTTTTTATTTTTTTTTTCCAACAATCTGGATATCAAGGATAAAGACTGAACACAAACTCACAAATCACAATTGCAGGAGTACAAATATTTTTATGCAATTTTAGATTTTTTTCCAAATTTGAATGTAATTGGGTAAGAACTCTACACGGATTTATAAACTACAAGTGCAGGTGTAAGTTTTTCTACAAAATTTGTGTAAAACTTATTTTCTGATTAGTCATTAATTTTTTGGGAGGGGATAAATGAATAAATTTTGATTATCCTTTTACTTTGCTTAAGATGATCTTAAAACGTTTTCAAGAACTAATATGAAATAAATATTAAATCACGAAAATAAAAAAAAAACAGCATAAAAAACCATAAAGTAACCGGAACCATGTTTTACTATTTGCACATACATAAACGTTATGTTAATTTTTATACATTTCATTCATAAGTTTCGTCCTGTGTCATTTCCATATTGTCAGTTAATAAAAAAATACTACTACCCGTAATAAATTTTTTTCACTAGTATCCATGAAACATGCAATTGTCGACTTGTTTAGAGGTAGTAAAGTTCAACTTTTGCTACCAAGGTTAAAAAAGAAGATTGAGGGTATGTATGAAATACCTGATGTGATTATTTCTTAAAAAATGAATAAATGTGTGCTACATTACTTGAGCATACGCATGGTGGTTGGTAGACGGTGGAAGATAAAATATTAATTCAGCAACAAGTGTAAACGGTTTTCTTTGCGTTGAAGATTTAGGTTAAGTTCGATTAGAATTCAAAACAAAATCATTTTGCGACAAAAAATTGCAGGTTTATTTTTTTCAATTTATTGTCTTACGGTTTCTACTAGTGAAAAAATAGTATATTAACCACGGTTGTGCGCGCTGTGCGTCTCGGGTTCTAATTTGCGGTCGGTATAGAGTGCTTCGCTTCACAACCTTGGTTAGTAATATAGTATTTTAGGCGACCAATATAAAAAGAGCTACTTTACGACTCGATTTGCTGCCATAAAGTGTTACTTTTTTGCACCGAAGTCTCACATCTTACCCCTTTTCGAAATCCTTGTGTTTACATTTAGCACCTTTAGCCAGCGGAATTCTTCTTATATCCTACCAAATTACCTTAACAATAAGATGAGATATCTACTTGTCACAATTACAAAGACTACTGAAGCAAGAGGGATCGAATATTTTAAACATTTATGAAGTGAGATGAGGTTGGTGCTCAAATGTTTGTCACAAAATGGTCTTTCTTATAAATTTTCTTAATTAAAAGGCAAAGTAGACTTCCGATTTTATGTCAAATCCTTCAGGATTTTGATTCAACAAGAAAAACAACAGTTTTCTAACCTCAAAAAAAGTAAATATCTGCGTACCTACGAAACAAAGTTTATTAAATATTAATGTTAAATTATTGTTCAAGATTGTTCAAAGTTCAGATCGACCGAAAAAGTTCCTCTTTACGGCCTTGGTACATAAATACCTATATTAAATAAAGATTCATCACTGTTAAAAAAATCTCACTACTGTTTGGTTTAAAATAGTAACAAGTACTAGGACCGCCCACCTGCCCCGTATTTTTTATGAGAGAATTTGTCATTTGCCGAAATAAGTTTTATCTTACCAAGTACTAGCCCCGCCCACCCACCCTCTCTTTTCTTGGAAGATATCTCATTTGCCAAAATTACTGTTATCTTAGCAGGTACTAGCCCCGCCCACTCGCCCCCTTATTTTCTCAGAGGATATGTCATTTGCCAAAATAAGTTCGAATTCAAAATTTTTTATAATCAAACCAGGAAATTTTGATCCTTGTCCACTTTATTCTATCTATGTAAGTGTTTAGGGATTATGGAAACCCGCAGTGAGGAGGCGGAGCAGTCAAATACCTCGCTGCTGAGCACCGACAATATTTTTGTGTGCGGTAGTAACTTGTGACATTTACTTCATAGATCTTTCTTTAACAAATAGTTTATTAGTGATTGTTCTAATAAGTTGCGTAGATACAAAGAAGAAACATAAAAGAATTTCTGCCAATAAAAAGTTTAAAAATATATTTATAAAAAGTATGTTTATCTACCAACAGAACAAGAGAAAAATATTAAATATCTAGTTATTTTTTCTTAATAAAAACCTAATAATAATAATAATAATCAATAATATTGTATATTAGTACATCATTTTTGAAAGTGCCCCATTTAGTAAAATTTGTCTTTTTTTATTGAATACAGAAATTTACTTCACTGATGTGTCATTGTTTATATAATTCAGTACACAGAGCAACAGTTTGCATAATACAAAATTTAAATAATTCTAAATAAATAAATAAGTAAAGATTTATTTCGCCAATAGAAAAATGTCCCCCAATTGTCTATCCCTTTTACTAATTTCAGCTCAGGTTGCATTTAGAGCAGCAAATAGCGCCTTATTCTTAAGATTTCGGGTTCGTTCCTTATGATTGGCTGTATTCCTCTGTCAGCCATCGTTATTTCACTATTAATATAGAGGTCCACACCTTGTTAGATACCTTTCTTAGTCCCTAGCTTGCGCACTGTCAAAAGTAGCTCGATTTCAGATAGTTTTTAGCCAAGCCGTGTTTAATGAACACGAAAAGTGCCGAACACACTCAAGACGTGACTAATGATCCCGAGCGCATCTTCGTCCGTGTTTAATGAGTCCAAAGCCACGAATTATGAACTATGATTAAAACACCGTGCATTTACGTTCGTTAAACAAGGAAAAACAATATCGTGACCTATTTTAATAACTTTAATGGAAAAGTTTTTCAATCGAACTGGCGAAATGCCTGTATAAAGATCAGTTCTGAATCATAAATTGTACGATGTTAAATATGCCGACCTAGTTACTGCACCTTGAATCAAAGAGAACTAATTACTAAATGATATTCACCGCAGATGAATATTTTGCTTTAGTTGTTTCTGAACATGCAAAGAACAATATGTTGTTTCTTTTGAAGCTTGCAGCGGATTTATTTTATTACTTTCGAAAGCATACCTAGTACACTTTGGTTTATTTTTACTTCTGCGAAAATTTTAATTTGACTATTTAGATACGCTGCTAATTAGTGTGTAGAGACAAAAAAGGAAACTTCGAACACAATTTGAGCTTGTACAATGGCGTAATTTACTTTGATCTTTGCTCCTAATTGCACAAACAAAATCGGAGTGGGTTAGATTGCATTATCGGTACTGTAGTTTAGATTTCACTTCGAGTGGCCGCTACACTTGCATGTGGTAGATGCACTTACAATTAGTTGGAGTGCGCCCGAACCACTAATATTTTTAGTCCGAATTTCTCCTGCTCTTATAGCTCTTACATTTGAATAACTGCATCGCATGTATTCGACTTAATTAAATCTCTATGTCGATGTTGTCTAGCGAATTGCCTGATCCTTCTCCTTAATCAAGCAAGTAAGCAACCGCCGCATCTCCGAAAATCTACTCAACTCAATTCCGTATTGTTGTAGATCTGCCAAGTTAATTCATCGTAAAGTGGCTATTATAGGCGCAGGAATGGCTGGCTTAGGAGCCGCCACCACTCTGCTCAAGCTCGGATGTTCCGATTTCGCGCTAATAGAAGCCCAGAATAAGCCCGGGGGGCGCATACACACCTTGAAGTTGGACGATAACATCCTCGAATTAGGCGCTCAGTGGATTCACGGCAGAGACAATCCTCTGTACGAACTGGCTCGGGAGCACGACCTCCTGTCCGAAGTCACTTCCGAGGAAGGATTAGGACTATACATTAGAGACAACGGAGAAGTTATCGATGGTGATATCGTCAAGAGAGTGGACTTCGAGGTCGGGCGGATACTCGCAGAATGCGAAGAGTTCCTCCGGGCGTCAGATTACCCCAATTCCGTGGGAGAATACATGGAAGCGAGATTCGCCCAGTATTTGCAGGAGTGTCAGGACTCAGACGACGTCAAAAATATTAAGCAGGACCTGTTCGATTGGCATGTACGGTTCCAGATTATCGATAATTCCTGCCGGGATCTAAACCAGTTATCGGCTAAAGGTTGGGGACAGTACATCTGCATAGATGATAAGGCACATATGAATCTTAAATGTGGGTTTGATGATTTAGTAGCAGTATTAGTGGATAGTTTACCGAAAAATTCCCTCTTCCTGTCAACACCTGTTGCTGCAATCCAGCGCGCCAGCTCGACCTTCGACACTAATAGGATAATATGTGATAACGGCACTACAATAACCTGCGACTACATGATTATCACCCCTTCTCTAGGGGTCCTAAAGCGCCTAAAAATCACCCCTCCGTTGCCGGCCGAACATAGTCAAAGCATCACCGATTTGGGCTTCTACGGAATCGGGAAAATATTCTTGGTGTTTGACCACAAGTGGTGGAGCGAAGAGGGGTTTCAGTTCGTTTGGGGGCGGAATTCCCACTTAGATGATGAAAGTAGTTGGGTTAAATATATTACAGGTTTTGATCCAGTTGTGCACGGACGAAATGTTTTGGTGGGTTGGGTTGGCGGCGAAGGAGTTAAAGTTATGGAGAATTTAAGTGATGAAGATGTTGGAATTCACTGCACAAACTTATTGAGGAGATTCATTTCCGACAGAACTATTCCAAATCCCATCAAAGTTGTCAGGTAAGTTCGCGATACATATTTTCAGCTGCTGAAACTCGGTTTGAAAGAACTTTATCCCGATTCGGGAATAAAAAGAGAACGCTAGGGCGGTTTTCAGCGCTGGATAGGATATTAGATTTTTAGTTGAGTTTAATTAATTCGTCACGAGCGAAGCTATTTAGGGCTGGAATTTTTAGGTGAGTGAATGTCGAGTGTCGATTTCGAGCAATTAATCAAGTCATGATTTTAAAGAAAGTGCTGGTTAAATCTTTAAATTTGTTGAACTTACTGTTAACAATATTAATTTTGAAAACTAAAATTTAAAAGTTTAGTTTATTAGTTAAATATTAAATACTACTTTGTTGTTTATGAAAAATAGGAGACGAAAGTTTCTAAATTATGACAAAAAAATGGCTTTAGTTTGGAAAGAACGCCTACCTTGGAAAGAAAAAATGTATCAAGAAAACAGGGTTTTTTTCTTTATGTACTAGTACATCTGACAGATCGACATGTAATTGGAATAGAGATATTGAAATTTTGTAAACCTCAATATATTTTTAAATTGTTTTCTGTGTGGTTCTGAATTTTTAACGAGCCACGGTTTTGTGTTGGGTCAGGAGAATGTGATTTGAGCTGGGTTTTGGGGTATTACAGTACGTAATTATTATACAGGTTGACTTTAAAAAAATCTAGATCAAGTTGATTTTGGAAAATCTGGTATTGCATTGTAATAAGAATTTTCCTCCTCCTGATTTTATGTCTCAAAAATGAATTATTTAAATAATTAAAAAAATACAGGGTGATTCACTGAGCACACGCTCCTCGATTTCTTATTAATTATTAGTAATAGAAAAAAAATTGATCGAAGGTTATTTCGGCAGAACTTCCCTCGCCCTGAAGTGGAAGGGGACGCGGCCCGTATAAGTGCGGACAACATGAAATATATTTGAAGCAGACAACCAACGGAAAAAATATTTTTGGAAAAATCAAAAATCTCAAAAATCTAAAATATCGAGAGATTGAACAATAGAAAAACGAAAAATTGAAAAATCACGTATTTTAAAAAGGGGAGAATTGAAAAATCGAAATCCGAAAAGCTGAAAAATCGAAAAATCGAACAATCGAAACAACAAAAAATTAAAAAATTAGAATATCCAAAAAGAGAAAAGTTCCCATAAGTTGAATGTTCAAAAGTCGAATAGTCGAAAAATTTAAAAGTCGAATGAGATGTCAAGAAATCGAAACATCAAAAAATCGTAAAATTGACAACTTGAAAAACGAGAAATCGAAATATCAAAAAATTGAAAAATTCAAAAATTCAAAATCTATAATTTAAAAATCGGAAAATTGAAGAATGGAAACATGGAAAAATTGAGGAACTGAAAAATTCCAAAACTGAAATGAAAAATCGAAAAGCTGAAAATCGAAAAACCAAAAAATCGAAAAACCGAGAAATCGAAAAATCTACACATCAAAAAATTCAAAAATTGAAACATCGAGAAATCAAAAAACCGAGAAGTCCAAAAACATAAAAATTGAGAAATCAGTCGAAATAGCGCAAAATCGAAAAATCGAAGGATCCAGCAATCGAAACCATAGAAAAACCAAAAATTAAAATATCCAAAAATTGAAGGTCCAAAAATTGAAGATCCAAAAATTGAAAAGTTCCCAAAATTTAAATATTGAAGAATTGAACAGTCGAAAAATTTTAAAATCGAATGGTCTAGATGTCAAGAAATCGAAACATCAAAAACTGTAAATTCGAAAAATTGAAAAATCGTCAAATTGAAACATCAAAAAATCGAAAAGTTGAAAAATCGGAAAACTGAGAAATCGAGAATTAAAAATTTAAAAAAACGCAAAAGTTGAAAAATCGGTAAATTGAAGAATAGAAACACTGAAAAATCGAGAAACTGAAAAATTTCAAAAATTCAATGATGAAAAATTGGCCAAAAATCGGACAAGTGAAGAATCGAAAAGCTGAAAATCGAAAAACCCGAAGAATTGAAAAACCGAGAAATCAAAAGATCGAGAAATAAAAAAATCGAGAAGTTGAAAAATCTAAAAATTGAGAAATAAATGGAAATAGGCCAAAATCCAAAAATCAAAAGATCGAGCAATCAAAACAAAAAATCAAAAAATTAAAATATCCAAAAATTGAAGATTCCTGAAAAGTTCTTAAAATCTAAAAGTCGAAAAATTTTAAAATCAAATTACTGAGATGTCAGGAAAAATCGGTAAATTGAAGAATAGAAACACTGAAAAATCGATAAACTGAAAAATTTCAAAAATTCAATGATGAAAAATTGGCCAAAAATCGGACAATTGAAGAATCGAAAAGCTAAAAATCGAAAAACCCGAAAAATTGAAAAACCGAGAAATCGAAAAATAGAAATATCAAAAAATTCGAAAATTGAAACATCGAGAAATCGAAGCATCAAAAGGTCGAGAAATCAAAAAATCGAGAAGACGAAAAATCTAAAAATTGGGAAATCAATCGAAATATCCCAAAATCCAAAAATCCAAATATCGAGCAATCGAAACAAATATCAAAAAATTGAAATATCCAATTCCTGAAAATTTCCCAAAATTTAAATGTTGAAAAATGGAATGGTCGAAAAATTTTAAAATCAAATAATTCAGATGTCAGGAAGTCGAAACATCAAAAAATCGTAAAATGGAAACATTGAAAAATTGAGAAATCGAAACATGAAAAAATCGATAAATTGAAAAATTCAAAAATCTATAATTTAAAAGTCGAAAAATCAGTAAACAAAAAAATGGAGAAATCGAAAATTCGAAATTTAAAAAAATTTAAAAATCTGAAAATTGAAGAATGGAAACACTGAAAAATCGAGTAACTGAAAAAATTCAAAACTGAAATGATGAAAAGTTGGCAAATCGAAAAATCGAAAAGCTGAAAATCAAAAAATCGAAAAATAGAAAGATCAAAAAATTCAAAAATTGAAACATCGAGAAATTAAAAAACCGAGAAATCGGAAAATCTAAAAACTGAGAAATCAGTTGAAATAGGCCAAAATCGAAAAATTGGAAAATCGATCAATCGAAAAAACAAGAAATGAAAAAATTAAAATATCTAAACATACAAGATTCCAAAAATTGAAGTTCCCAAAAATTTATATGTAGAAAAATCGAAAAATTTTAAAATCGAATAACTGAGATGTCAAGAAATCGAAACATCAAAAAATTGAAAAACTGAAAAATTCAAAAATCTATAATTTAAAAATCGAAAAAAAATTTAAAAAAATGAAAAATCTGAAAATTGAAGAATGGAAACACTGAAAAATGGAGTAACTGAAAAATTTCAAAACTGAAATGATGAGAAATTGAAAAATCGGAAAATTGAAAAATCGATAAGCTGAAAATCGAAAAATCCTAAAAATCGAGAAATCAAAAAACCGAGATATCGAAAAATCTAAAATTTGAGAAATCAATCGAAATAGACCAAAATTGAAAAATCGAAAGATCGATCAATCGAAACCACAAACAATAAAAAAATCAAAATATCCAAAAATTAAAGATGCCAAAAATTGAAAAATATAAATGTTGAAAAATCGAAAAATTGATAAAATTAAAAAATTCAGAAAGATAAAAAGATCGAGAAATCAAAAAACCGACAAGTTGAAAAATCTGAAAATTGAGAAATCAATAGAAAGAGGCCAAAATCGAAAAATCGACACGTTAAAAATTGAAAAATTCAAAAATTTTATATAAAAAAAATCGATAAATCGAAAAATAGAAAAATTGAACAATCGAAACATCGAAAGTTTGATAAATCAAGAAATTGTAAAATTGACAAATCTAAAAATTTAAAAACCGAAAAATTTAAAACCGAGAAGTCGAAAAATCAAAAGAACAAGAAATGGAGACATTAAAAACTGAAAAATTTAAAATATGAAAATTCGAAAAATTGAAGTATCAAAGAAACGAAAAATTGAAAAATCGGGAAGTCGAAAAATCAAAAATTTTAAAAGTTGAAAAATATAAATATTCAAAAATCGAAACATCAAAAAATCGAAACAGTAAAAAATAGACGAGAAGTCACAAAATGAAAAGTCAAGAAGTTGAAAAATTGAATAATTGAAATATTGAAAAATCCTAAAACTGAAATGTTGAATATAGTTGAAAAATTGACGAAAAATTGAACAAGCCAAAATTGAATTATCGAAAAATTGAGAAATCGGGGAATTAAAACATCAAAAAATTCAAAAACTGAAACAACGAAATATCCAAAGATCAAAAGATCGAAAAATTTAAAAACTGAGAAGTGGGAAAATCTAAAACCGTAGAAATCAAGCGAACTAAGCCGAAATCGAAAAATCGACACGTTAAAAATTGAAAAAATATAAATTTTGAAACTAAAAAAAATTGAGAAATCGATAAGTTGGAAATTCGAAAAATCGAAAAATTTAACATCCGAAACAGAAATCCCGATAAATCGAGGAATTGAAAAATTGAAAAATCAAAGAATTTAAAAACCCAAAGATCTAAAACCGAGAAGTCGAAAAATCGAAAGATCGAGAAATCGAAACATCAAAAAAACGAAAAATTGAAATTTCTAAAATTTAAAAGAAAAATTGAAAAATCGAAAATTGAAGAAATGAAATATTGAAAAATGGAAGAAGCGAAAAATTGAAATCAAACAATCCAAAAATTGAAAAATCAAAAAAATAATTGAAGAATTGAAAAACTGAAAAATCGACACATTGAAAAATCGAGAAATTGAGAATGGGAAAATCAAAAAATCGGTTAATCGAGACACTGAGAAATCAAATAATTGAAAATTTAGAAACGTTAAAATTTGAAAAATTGAAAAATTGAAAAATAAAAAAAAATACCCGAAAAACTGAAAAATCATGTAACTGAAACTTCGGAAAACTGAGAAATCGAAAAATGAAGAATTCCAGAGATCGAAAATTTGAAGAATGTAAAAATTGCTATATCTAAAATTTTGATTTAGTTTTCCAAAAATCTTGATGTCTACCAGAAGTTCAGGACCATGTTACTTTTAACATTTAAATAACATTGATTTGACAAAATTGTAAGATGGGATAATCAATTCCTGAGGGACATGAGCAGATAAATTTTGATTAACGATTTACCATGTTTCCGAGGACCTTAAAGCGTTTGCAAGATTTCAAAGCATTCGGTTTTGCAATTTTAAGTGAAACTGCATAATTTTGATTTGTTTTCCAAAAATCTAAATGCCTAAGATAAAAGCTTAACACGAATTCATAAATCAAATGTAGAGGGGTACGTTATTTTATAAAATTTGAATAACATTAACTATTGTAAAATTTGGATTCCATTGTTGAGATAAAGAATGAGAATTCCATTTTTAAGCTCCGTTTTCCACATTTTTCAAGCAAATGTTGATGATATCTTTTATGTGCGCTACAAAAGACAGCGTGAAGTCAAAATTTATATGAAAATTTCTAAATTATATAGCGACAAGGCATTAATGTCGTAATAAATATTTAATCCAAAAAAGGTCAAATATTTCATAAGGGTTTTAGAGCAAGATTTTTGAAATGTTCAATTTGAAAATTAAGTTTTTAAAATATATAAATTAAAATTATTGTTTTTCCAAAAAAAACCAAAGACAATATGATATTGATCCGACATTTACAAGTCGACTGTCTATACCTATTTATAAAAAATGTAACTTTCACCGCTGAAGAATTCCACCTTATCCTTCTTTTCCCTTCACCGAATCACCGAGATTTTCTATAAATAGTATTCCCAAGATGTGTGTTATCCATTTATCGAGACTTATGTTTTCCTTAGAACGAGGTGGTGTTCAAATCCCTGGGTCTTAGGAGGATATAGCCACATCACTCCGGCTTGCGACCGATCGGGCTCAGGAATGCATAAACTTTCAGAGCCCATATTTATTGATGGTAAACCACGAATACTAATAGCTGGTGAGGCGACGCATCCTTCACATTATTCGACTATCCATGGCGCTTTCGAATCTGGTCAGCAGCAAGCGAAATTTTTGGCCCAGTATTTAATGAAAAATTCGAAGCTGTAAAACTGTGCAATAAAAATTCTTCCGGAAATTATGGTGTTTCTTCACATGTGATCCAGTTTCCATCAAATTAGTTCCGCAGAATTAGTTAATAAACCGTTATTACAGATCATCAACTGCGTAACCGAGAAGACTTAATAAATAGTTTCCGCTGGTATTGGTAGACAGAATAATTGGAAATTAGGCTTGGTTGTTCGTTGTTACGCAATTTCATTAACATTGATGAGGAACATATTTATGTGAATTTACATGAAACTAATTCGTGTATTTGTAATTCATGTAACTAGAGGTTTGAAGAGGCGATCTATTCAACCAGTTTGTTTTTAGTAATTATAGTGTAATCGAAGCAGGAAAATTACTCGAGCTAGTCGCCACCCCTTTATGTGTTTTCAGTGGATCATGGATTTATTGCTGCTAGAGTGTACACGAAATAGAAGCAATAAGTTTTACGGGTTATTTTATTGCACAATGGATACTATATGTACCGTCGGAGGCATATTTATTTATTTTATTCTTTCTGGGTTTCGAAAACATTCGTTTGTTTAGTCGGCGTAACGAGTTCATCGGTGCAAAAAAATCCCATCTTCTGGAAAAATTCGCTGGAATTTTTCAACATTTACCTACCAACTTTTTAACGACGCGAATCGCTTAACGAGTCACATTATTCACAATAAAGGATTCGTCTTAATTCGTTAGTTAATCTAATTTCTGCAAGAATGGGGCCTTGACGTTGTCATTTGCATTCTCCTTTGATAAATTAGTTGTAAGCAAATGTTTTTGCTCGACTACCGGAATATTTGAATTTTATTGTTGGCAGCTTGTTTTAATTCAAATGTGAGCAGCTGGAAATATTGGATTTCATGAACTTGATAAAGTTTTGGAGTGTTTGCTGCTACGAAGTGTTACACGGTCGAAGTTTTCTCTCTTGGTTGACGTATGGTTTCTTGTGCTGTATATTATCATATTAACATAAATAGTACATTAATAAGGAGAACAGCGAAACCGATGCGTTTAGCTAATCTTAAATTCAGTGAACTTTCGTTGAAATGGCATAAAGTGCACCAGCGAGAGAAATTTAAAGAAGACTGCTTCAGATTCCCTTGATATTCAGTTGCTTCTAATGTATTTTTTATATTCATACTCAGTTTTATTATATATGAGAAAAACCAGATCTTAGTAAGTCATTGTTCAACTTTACGACGAATTCGTAAGATAACCCAGAAGTGTAAAACCGACGATTGCTGTCCCCACTAAGAACAATATTAACAAAATAATCTTGTGTAGGAGTTCTTTTCTTTCTCTTTCTATTTCTTTAAGTTTGATTTTCTCAGTTTCATATCTTTATTCTATGTTGTGATGTTTGTCTGCTTCTAAGTTAAAATTTCATTATCATCTGGAAACGTTTGCCCCTTTTTAATTTTGACGTTCTTTAATGGGGGACCCAAAAAACTGTAAAGAACAACATAAACAGGTAAGTAAGGAAGTATTTATACGCAAAATTAAATATTTAGCGAATTACACGCGAGAAGTAATAACAGTTACATTGGAACATTTTCTAATAGGAAAATTCACTAGAAACACACCACGCTAGATCATAAATAAACAAGTCAACAGAGTGTTTTCGTAACATAATGCGTTCGAATCAAACGCAATGGCGGGTGATTAAAGTGTATTATGTATATTGTTTTTTCTAAATAGTTGGATTTATTTATATGTACTTATATTTAGAAACAAATAGTTTCACGAATAAGTATATTACTGGGTTAAGTAAATCCGTAATTTTAATTACTGTTTTTTACTATAAAATACCAACGGCTTTGATTTTCGATTTGATAAGGTTCAGTTTTTTTTGAAAAATGATGAAATTTGAATTTGGAAAATTTTATTTTCTTATGATAACCTCTAGATGTTAAAAAATATAGATAATATTACTCACAGTGTAAGAAAAAAAATTAATCCATGAAGGTCCTTTGCACAATAGTTTAAGTAATCAAGCTATTCGGCCGATGTTTTGCGTTCCTCTTTATGTTTGTTGTACAGTTTGGATTATTTTTTTGCGAAAATCTGGATGCTTGGTGTAAAAAATTAAAACGAATTCATGAACCACAAATACAGGAGTAGATTTTTTATTTTGTATTTATTTGGCTTGCATGAAACGTTTAGAAAACATGAAAGTAGTCAATTGAAACTTGAAAAATAAAAAAAAAGAAAATCGAAATATTACAAAATTCGAAAATCGATAAGTATAAAAATTGAAAAATTGAAAATACGGAATCGAAAAACTAGAAAATCGAAAAATGGGAAAGAATTTGAGAAATGGAAAAATTGAAAAGTAAAACAATTGAAATTCGAAAAATAAAAATATTGAAATTCGATATATCGAAATATCTAAAAATCGAGAAATAAAAAAGCTGGGATTCGAATAATGAAAAATCGAAAAATCAAAAAATCCAAAACTCACTCGAAAAATCGGGAAATGGAAAATTCGAGAAATCGAGAAATCGAAAAGTAAAATAATTAAAAATTCGAATAATCGACAATGGAAAGTTGGTAAAATTTAAAATCGAGAAATACAAAAATCTAAAATTCAAAAAATCGGAACGTCGAGAAATCGAAGATTTGAGAATTCAATATTCGAGACACTGAAAAATCGAAAAAATAAAAGCAAACTAATTTAAATGTCTAAGGGCATTTAGCGACTGGCGCAGAGTCGGTCATGTGGTACTTTAACGCCGTGTTAAAAATTTATATATACGCAAACAAATACTTAATCGAGCTTCTGTAAACCGGATCTAGAAATTGAACAATGGAAAGTCGAACATTCGAAAAATCAAGTACTGAAAAACCGAAAAATCGAAAAATAAAACAACCGGAAATTCGAACAGTCGAAAATAGAAAATTGTGGAAGAATTGAAAATGCAAAAATCAAGAAATTGAAATTTGAAATATCGAAAATTCGAAAAATTGAAAATTCAAAAATCAAAAACTGAAAATCGAAATATTAAAAATGGAAAAATCGAGAAGTGAAAAAGTTGAAAATTCGAATAACGGAAAATCGTAAAATCGAACATTTTTAAAATCAATAATGAAAAATCGAGATATCGAAAAATCAAAAATCGAGAGATTAAAAATTGAAAATAGAAGAATCGAAAATTGAAATTTGAAATATCGGAATATCGAAAGTCAGAAGATCGAAAAATTGAAAAATTGAGAAATAATGAAGAATCGATTATCGAAAAATCGAGAATTGCAAAATCGAAGATTGAAAATCGAAATATTGAAAAATCTAGAAGTGAAAAAGTAGAAAATTTGAATAACGAAAAATCGCAAATTCGAAAATTTGAAAAATCAAAATTCTAAAGACAATAGGCGAAAAATTAAAAATAGAAAAATAGAAAATTCGATGAATCAAATATTCGAAAAATCGAAAATCGAAAATTAAACAATTGAAAAGTCGAAACATAGAAAAGTATTTGAGAAATCGAAAAATCGAAAAGTAAAACAATTCAAAATTCGAATAGTTGAAAACCGAAAATTCAAAAAAATTGAAATTCGAAAAATCGGAAATTGGTAAAATCGATAATTGGAAAATCGAAAATTAGAAATCGAAAATTCGAAAAATCTAAAATGCACAAATACTAAACTTAAAAGCGAAAAATTGAAAATTAAACAATCGATATATCGAAACTTCAAAATTCGATATATTGAAATATCGAAAAATCGAGAAATAAAAAAGTTGGGAATTCGAACAATGAAAAAACGTAAAATCAAAAAATCGAAAAGTCGAGAAACCGAATAAACGAAAAATCGAAACGCGAATCGAACATCCAAACATTGAAAAGTGAAAAATAAAAGCATCGAGAAATCGAAAACTCAAAAAGTGAAACAGTTGAAAATTCGAATAGTCGAAAATTGAAACTTGGAAAAATCGAAAAAAAAAACGGAAACTCGAGAAATCGAAAAATACAAGAATCTAAAATTCAAAAAATCTTTAATGGGGGACTCAAAGAACTGTAAAAAACAACATAAACAGGTAAGTAAAGAAGTATTTATACGCAAAATTAAATATTTAGCGAATTACACGCGAGAAATAATAATAGTTACATTGGAACATTTTCTAATATAGGAAAACTCACTAGAAACACTCCACGCTAGATCATAAATAAACAAGTCAACAGAGTGTTTTCGTAACATAATGCGTTCGAATCAAAGGCAGTGGCGGGTGACTAAATTGTATTATGTATATTGTTTTTTCTAAACAGTTGGATTTATTTATTTGTACTTATAGTTAGAAACAGATAGTTTAACGAATAAGTATATTACTGGGTTGAGTAAATCCGTAATTTTAATTATACTGTTTTTTACTATAAAATATCAATGGCTTTGATATTCGATTTGATAAGGTCCAGTTTTTTTGAAAAATGATAAAATTTGAATTTGTAAAATTTTATTTTCTTATGATAACGTCTAGATGTTCAAAAATATAGATAATGTTAGTCACAATGTAAGAAAAAAAATTAACCCATGAAGGTCCTTAGCACAATAGTCTAAGTAACTGAGCTATTTGGTTAATGTATGGATTATTTTTTTGCGAAAATCTGGATGCTTGGAATAAAAAATTAAAACGGATTCACGAACCACAAATACAGAAGTAGGTTTTTTATTTTCTATTTATTTGACTTGCATGAAACGTTTAGAAAACATGAAAGTGGTCATCAATTGAAAATCGAAAAATAAAAAAAAAAGAAAATCGAAATATTACAAAATTCGAAAATCCAAAAATTATAAAAATTGAAAAATTGAAAAATCAAGAAATCGAAAACTCGAAAAGTAAAAAGAGTGAAAATTCGAATATCGAAAAATTGAAAATTCGGAATCGAAAAACTAGAAAATCGAAAAATGGGAAAGAATTTGAGAAATGGAAAAATTGAAAAGTAAAATAATTGAAAATTCGAATAGTCGAAAATCGAAAACTGGAAAAATCGAAAAATCAAATAATTGAAATCGAAAAATCGAAAAATTAAAAAATCT